TACATACAAACAAGGGGTGGTAAGAAGTACTTCGTGATTTTCATTGATGATTGCCCAAGATATTGTTACGTCTACCTATTGCAAAGTAAAGACGAAGTCTTGGACAAATTCCAAGAGTACAAGCTCGAAGTTGAAAACCAACTGGGAAAAACCATTAAGATGGTTAAAAGTGATAAAGGAGGCGAGTATAATGGACATTTCATCGCTTTCTGCCAAGAAAAAGGCATCATACATCAAACAACCGCTCCATACTCACCAGAATCTAACGGAGTTGCAGAGAGAAAGAATCGCACTCTGAAAGAGATGATGAATGCAATGTTGCAGGAATCTGGGACACCCCAGAAACTGTGGGGGGGAAGCGCTGCTCATCACAAACTACATCCTCAACAAAATTCCACACAAGACTAACTGGCAAAACGCCATATGAACTTTGGAAAGGAACTGTACCTTCGTACAAATACCTCAAAGTGTGGGGCTGCTTAGAAAAAGTTGCTGTGCCACCTCCTAAGAAGCTGAGTATTGGACCTAAAATAGTTGATTGCATCTTCATCGGATATGCACATAATAACAGTGCTTATTGATTCCTAGTACATAAGTCAGATGTACCAGACATCCATGTCAACACGATAATGTAATCTAGGAATGTGTCTTTCTTTGAAAACATCTTTCCATGCAAAGAAAAACAAAGTAAGAAACGCACGCATGATGAAAGAGACGCTAGCATCTCTGTAAATGAGGAGAACACTTCTGGAATTTCAGTTGATGAAGCAAAAGATGAAGAAGATAAACCTAGACGGAGCAAAAGAGCATGCAAGGAAAAATCTTTTGGTGATGATTTCTTAATGGTATTTTTCTCAGAGAATGAGCCGAGATCATACACAGAAGCCATGTCTACACCTGATGCATCTTTCTGGATAGAAGCAGTTAATAGTGAAATTGATTCTATAATGCAGAATCATACCTATGAGATCACTGATTTACCTCAAGGCTTCAAAGCGCTAGGGTGTAGATTGATATTCAAAACCAAGTTGAAAACTGATGGTTCAATTGAGAAGTACAAGGCCAGACTTGTGGTTCAAGGATTCAGACAAAAAGAAGGTCTAGATTTTTTCGATACCTATTCTCCAGTAACGAGAATAACTTCAATAAGAATACTGATAGAAGTTGCAGCCCTAATAGGACTCGATATCCATCAGATGGATGTAAAAACGGCCTTTCTAAACGGTGATCTAGAAGAGGAGATTTACATAAAGCAACCCGAAGGATTTGTGGCCCCGGGTCAAGAACACAAAGTCTATAGACTTGTGAAGTCATTTTATGGTCTGAAACAAGCTCCAAAGCAATAGCATGAAAAGTTTGACAATGTAATGATGTCAAATGGTTTCAGCATAAATGAGTGTGATAAGTGTATCTACATCAAAAGTACTCCTCACGGGTATAGCTTGTTGTGTCTATACGTTGATGACATGCTCATCATGGGAAGTAACAATGATATCATCCAACAAACCAAGACAATGCTTAGTGGTCAGTTCGACATGAAAGACATGGGTCTTGCGGATATTATCCCTGGCATAAAGATCAGATGCACCTCTAAAGGCATCACTCAGTCTCAAGGTCATTATGCTGAAAAGATTCTTGAGAGGTTCAAGGCTCACTCAAACGGAACTGCGAAGGCCCCCGTGGATTCGCAACTACACTTGACAAAGAACTCTGATTGAAGCTGTTTCACAAGTGGAATATGCATGGGTCATTGGCAGTCTAATGTACTTAACCAATTGCACGACCAGACCTTGCACATGCTGTCAACGTGTTAAGTCGTTACACAAGTAATCCAGGTCATACACACTGGAAAGCCATAACAAGGGTATTAAATTATTTGCGATACACCAAGAGTTATGGGCTGCACTATGGTAAAGAACCCGCATCTTTGGAAGGATACATTGATGCAAACTGGATATCAGACTCAATGAATTCAAAATCCACAAGTGGATACGTCTTTACTCTAGGAGGTGCAGCAGTATCTTGGAAATCTTCCAAAAAAACTCTGTTAGCAAGATCCACAGTGGAATCTGAGTTCATAGCGCTATACAAGGCAGCAGAGAAAGCAGAATGGCTATGGAATTTCCTTAAGACATCTCTATGTGGGAGAAACCAGTGCCAGCATTACGAGTGCATTGTGATAGTCAATCAGCAATAGCTCGAGCATTGAGTAACCTATACAATGGTAAGTCTCATCACATCAGAAGATGGCATAAGCCCATTAGACATTTGATCTCAAGGGGTGTAATCTCGGTCGATTACATCAAGTTAGCTGACAACCTTGCGGATCTGTTCACTAAAAGTTTAAAGAGAGATCAAGTTTTGAAATCATCAAAGGGAATGGGTTTATTGCCTATGACTAAAGATGATGTTTGATGGAAACCCCACTTATGTGATTGCAAGATCTAAGTTCAAAGGGACAACCAATTCGAACAGAGTCTGATGAAAGCATTGAATGACATAACGTCTGTGCCCATCTCCCAAAATGATGTACAGTGCTCCCTGTAAGTATTAAAGGATAAGTTTTATACTTGTAATGATTTTGAGTAGCTTTCATTATGTAGAGTATAACAGGATACTTGTGTATATGTCAGGAGCTCAAAAAAATCACCTAGTGAGTGTGAAATGCGGCCGTTTCTAGGAGGATGAAGACAAGGCTATATATCCAAGTACACTCATGACAACCAGGTAAGTTCACGAACACAATGAACACAATAGAGAACTTAGCTCTACGAGAAGATGAGATTGGGTTGTACATGTTGTATAAGTTTACATAAAAATCGGGGCGGTTCAAGACATCACGTTCACCTCCTGGCCAAGTAAACTCGACAGATATCAACAATGAATAGTTCAAGGCTGAAATATGCTACTATATCATACACAGTTAGTTTTTCGCCGAAAATTCCTAGTGTCAAGTCCTAGTGTGTCTGCATAGTCTTTCGAGTTAGTAAAGTCTGCATATGTTTTAGAGTAATTTCTATTCATGTGGGGGATTGTTGGAACTTAAATTTTGGCAATTATGGATTCTTTTAAATCTTTGTAATGAGCACTAATAGACAGCGTAATTACTTGTCAAAATTGAATTTAATTTGAATAAGAAATCAATGGTCAAAGTGGACATGTAATCAAGACTAAAAGTCAAGATGTGCATTTGTCACATATTGGAAGTATGAGGGCTATTATGCAAAACCACAGAAGAATTTCTTTTTAAAATAAATATTTATTGACTTCTTTAATGGAATTATCAATATTCCATTTATCATTTTTGTATAATATCGATAAATCTTTATTGATTGAGTCAAATTATTTTACGAAATATTTTCATTTCTCTTATCCTTGTCAAATAAGAAATAAAGATTTTTGGAATATTTATGTTATCTCTGTCAAACAACGAATAAAGATTTTCGGAATATTTCGGTTTTTCCTTAACCTTGTCGAACAAGGAACAAAGATATTCGGAATATTTCCGTTTATCTTTCGTGAGTAATAAGAAAAATTCCTTGTACCACAAATCTCTATTCCACTATAAATTAGGACCTCTCTCATTCATTATTCTTCATCCAGAAAAGCAATAAGCTTTCAAACACAAAATCCAGCAAATCCCTTGCGTCTCTACATTCTTAGGTAAGTCTCGTGAGTATAGCATAAATTCTAAGTTCGTAGATTCTATAGTCGGGTGCTGCGACTTTAGTCTCCACACGGTTGTATCCTGAGATTCTGAATCTCTTCAAACCGCCACACTGCTGGAGATTTAAAGAATTAAAGAAAGAGATTATATCTCGACTCCGTGTATCGTCGTTACCTTAAAGGTTTTATTAAAACGTTTTATAAATTATAATCGTTTAATATTGATTTAAATCGTCTTTATATTCGTGATTTTCAATCTTGATTTTTTCGGTCCTACAATCTTTTCCCAAGGCACATGTGTTGAAATCATAATCGTAGTCAACCTGTTCGTTCACCCACCTATTAAACGCTTCAACGCCTGATATGTTACCACTGCTCCAAGCAATGTTTTCTCCATAGGGTCCGCTCGAGCCTGGTTTTTTTTTTAACCTTCTTTTTCAGAAACTTATAGTAGATAACCCAGAATTTCAAAAGCAATAAGTGGAAACGTTAGACAAGAATTCAAGAGCCATAAAACAAGAGAAAAGGGATCAAAACTTAAGTTTCTTCCCCCATTTTTAGATACTACACACTTTCTACTCAAAACACACAATCTCTTCTATTGAAGCACATGGTTGCACCATACAACCATCGCTTTGCCACAGCAATCGCTTTGCCAGTTGAAATCATGTAAAACTGAGTGCACCTAATGTTTATGCTCTTTCTTCAAGGATTTTCACCTTAGCATATACAAAGACTAAAGTTGTAAACATTTTCTTCAAGTAATAAAGTTGCAATGTTTTAAGCAGATCTCTTTATCTTATTTAAGCTTCTAGCTTTATTTTTTGTTTGCCTTTAAATATTGAAACGTGAAATGCAAACATAAGAAAATGGACATTTGTGTTTGACATTTTTATTCACAATTACCTTGCCATTTGCAAGAGATTTTTTTCAAAAATCGAAATACGTTGTTATTTTTATAAATAAATACAACAAAATATAAATGTAAAGAATAGAAACCCCAAATATACGTGCTTTATGCATGGGTGCGTCTAAATACAGCAGAAAAAAAAATAGAAGGAGATTTTCATAAAGCAAACAAAGCAAGTGCAAGCCGTAGTATTGCAACTTTTTTATTCCATTACACAAATACACGTATATATATGGTACAAAAGAGGACAGGATCGGACAAACCAATCATTATTATTCTTAACATGTAAACCGGAAAAAAAAAAACCCAATCATTATTAGCGGATGATGAAGATTGGTATATATAACTGAACAACATCAAAACAACAATAAGTACGTGCATACATGCGTGTGTATATAACATTCAAACGGGGTTAGTTTTCTTTTTAAAAAGGCTTCTCACCGACAAAATTACCGCGAGGATCATAGTTGCAAGTGATAAAAGTTTGACCATTGTCATTTTGAACAAAGCTTTGGCTATTGCTGCATGTCACTTTTGCACATCCCATCCTCACCGAGTTTCTCCACACAACCTGAGTATAGTGGCCACAATCTTTTCCCGAGGCACATGTGTTGGAATCATAATCGTAGTCAACCTGTTCGTTCACCCACATGTTAACCGCTTCAACGCCTGACATGTTACCACTGCTCCAAGCGATGTTTTCTCCATAGGGTCCAGTCGAGTGTTGCAAGGCGCAGTCACCTTTACGCTGGTTCGCGTAGTCGCGAGCATATGCAGCCACCGTCTCGTCCCATATTAAGGGAGCCACCCCAACCACGGCTCGTGCTTCGTTGTGAGCGTCCAAAAAGTCTTGTGGGCTGTCTTGGGCTCTTAGTGAAACAATGAAAACCAGGAAAATGGTTGTGGTTAAGAGGTTTTGCGATGAGCTAAAGATCTTCATCTTCATTCTTTTAAGACGATTAGAGGTTTTGAGTTTTGTGTGTGTTTAGAGTTGAAGGTTGAAGCGAACTTATATAGTAGTTGGCATGGATACTTGTTGCATGTTTTTATATTTTCCGAATTTATCACTTGTAATTTTATATTTTAAATTTGTTTTCAACAAAAATTAAAATAATTTACAAACTAGTAATTAGAAAAGTATGCGCCTCCGGTCTAATATAGTTGGCCAACTGATTAAGAGTTTATATATTAGGATATTCAGAGCAATTAGACATAAATTTCTCTATAAAACATGTGACGCGCCATATTATCTAGTGAAATTTGAATTTGAATATGTGTTTATGCTTTACGATTTACAATCCTAGATGATTCGCTAAATACTATACTATATATCACAACATTCGGGAGTTCAACCATATCGAAATTATGAAAATTATAAAAATTAAGATTTTTAAAACTATATATATTTAATTATTTTTGGTTAGGAATTTAATGTTATCGTCTTCATCCCTATATAAATTTATACTAGGTGATTGGCCCGCACATATACTAGGAATCACATGGTTATATATCATTTTCTGATATTATACCGACTGAATATAAAATTTATTAATTGCAAAACCACATCATTTACAAATATAAATCTGCTTGAATTTTTTTTTAACATAGTACTGCAGTTATTCCTTAAGAGAATTGACACAAATATTAATTGAGAACTAAAACAAAAATCACGGTTGTTCACATGTGTTTTAATAAAAGTACTCTTTATATAATATTCATAATCGCATATCTTAATTTTATGTATTATTATCTTTAATTGTATATAGATGATCCTAAATAGCTTTCATATTTTTTTTTTCAAATAATTAACAGTAAGACACCAAGTTCTAGAGAAGCTCTTTGAATCAAAATCGTAAATAATTACCAATTTTTGAAGCAAAGAAACAAAGAGATCGAAAGAAGATCTCAATCGTAAAATTTAAAATTTGAAAATATCCAATTTGAGGAAAGAAAAAGAATTATGTTTGCATGTGTGCTATTAGATTAATAAAAATTTCTTCTCAAATGTGCTAAAAAGTTAAACACAAAATTTTGGTGTGAGCTTCAAAATAAAACATTGGTCCATAATGTTAATAATAAGTTTAAAACAAAATTTTGCAATGGGTCAAAATATTTTTTTAAACAAAACCTGTTACATTCAAAATTTTGGCTAAAACTAGTTTAGAAGTTATTGTAAATTTGTAAAGATAAAGAAGTAAAGTTAATGTTAATAATAAATAATAAATTGTGTCAGAAAACACATACGCATGTTATTTTCTGTTGGTCTAATATATGAATTCGGATACAACAACAAATTTATTAAAATATCTAATCCAATTTTTCACATTTTCACTATGTAAATACATAATATGAGAGCCAAAAATATTTTTAAATCATCAAATCTACTCTAAACGCAGGCCCAAAATCTAGTTTATTATTATAAGAGTTTAATAATTGTTTAATATAATTTTGTGTTTTTATTCTTAACAATTTATTATGTTATTGTTATAACCACTTTTACCACAACTAATCTTGAGGACATGTAGCTACTGGGTCCGTCAGAGCGCTGGCCTTCTCTCACTAGACATGTCACCAACTTTCTAGCAGACTGTTCTCGGGCAGGTGGCGTACTTACTAATTTAGATGTGATGTACTGGACTGCCTGCTCCTGTGGCGTACCGCATGAATGGTACATGACGTAAGAAAGGAGGTATAAAAGAAAGCCTAAGCTTAAAGGAAGAGGGAGGTCCGGGATCGTGAGATCCCGAGAGAGAATGAGATACACCCAAAGGAGGAGGAGGGGAAACCTCCGACATTCGCCTCGCCGGAGCTCGCTCTGAGCTCCGTGCTGCAGCAAGACTGAAGGAGAACCTTTAGAAAGGGAAACCCCATTTTGGTCTATCCAGAGACCCGACTCACTCGTTCATCTATATATGCAAGACCTGCTAGACTTCCGTCCTCGGAACCGCAAATTGCTCATCCCATAAATAACAAAACTCGGATACACAACTCGACAATCCCAGACAATCACATACCCCCATAAATATCCCAAACTTTACTCTGAACAGTTATATATTAAATTCAAATTTTAAAATATACAAGTTATATATACACGTTTTCAAATATACTGGTGATATTTACATGGTAGATTATTAATTTTTCATACTTACGATCTTAATGGCAATGAAAATACATTATTTAAAACATGTGGACAGAATACAAAATTGGTAAAACTTGAAATGACAGTAAAAAATCCATGACAAACATGAAAAAGGTATCATATGTATATCATTTTTTTATTAATATGTAGGAGAAATGAGGAAACTCTTACAATAAATGCATTATGCCTTCCTGAATTTTGTGTAGAACCGCGAAAATCCAGATTGAAAATCACGAATCCAAAAACGATTTAAATCAATAATAAACGATAATTAAAGTATAAAAACATTTTTAATAAAACCTAAGGAAAGACGATACACGGAGTCGAGATATGATATATTTTCTTAATTCTTTAAATCTCCCGCAGTGTGGCAGTTTGAAGAGATTCAGAATCCCAGGATACAACCGTGTTGAGACTAAAGTCGCAGCACTCGACTATAGAATCTGCGAACTTAAGAATCTACGCTATACTCTCGAGACTTACCTAAGACTATAGAGACGAGAGGGATTTGCAGGATATTTTTGTTTTCGAAAGCTATGTGTTTCGCTGATGAACAATAATGAATGAGAGAGGCGAGTATATATAGCGGATAGAAGGATTGGGGCGCAAGGGTTTTCCTTGGCCGCCACTCTATGATAAACATAAATATTCCTAAAATCTTCTATTACTTGATCGCAAAGAATAAGAGAAACGGAAATATTTCAGAAATCTTTTATTCCTTTCTGATAAGGATCTGGGCGAAACAGGAATATTACGGAAATATTCTGTTATTAATTTTTGACTCAATCATAAAGATTTATCGAGTTATGCAACTTATCTTTAAGGAATATTAACATATTTGTGAAAATAAGTTAATAAATATTTACTCCAAAAAGAAAATCTTATTGTGGGCTAAAGCCCACATTCACCAAGATCCAAGCCCGAGCCCGGTCCGGCTTGGCACGGCACGGCGCACGCGTGTGTGTGTGGTTTTGCATAACAGCCCTTTCTCTCTTTTTCCATAGTGTCCTCTTCTAAAGGCTAGTGAACATTGTTGAGAGTGTGCCACTATATATACTAGTGGAAAATTCTTCCAACTTTCAATGTGGGATAAATGCTGATCTTGACATTTGTTGATTTTTTGTCTTGATTACATGCCCACTTTGACCAAAGATTTCTCATTCAAATCAACTTCGTTTTTGACAAGTGAATACATTATCTTATAGTACTCATTACAAAGAATCCAAAGAATCCATAATCCGGTCATTTCGGTAACTGTGCTCACCGGAAATGTTGCCGGAAGACTGGTCTGAGCCATTTGTCAAAAATAAGTTTCAACAATCCCCCACATGAATAGAAATTACTCTAAAACATATGCAGACTCTACGAACTCGAAAGACTATGCAGACACACTAGGACTTGACACTAGGATTTTTCGAGAGTATAGGCAAAAAATTAACTGTGTATGATATAGTAGCATATTTCAGCCTTAAACTATTCATTGTTGATATCTGTCGAGTTTACTTGGTCAGGAGGTGAACATGATGTCTTGAACCGCTCGGATTTTTATGTAAACTTAGACAACAGGTACAACTCAGTCTCATCTTCTCGTAGAACTAAGTTCTGTATTGTGTTCATTGTGGCCGTGAACTTGCCTTGGTTGTCATGAGTGAACTTGGAGATATAGCCTTGTCTTCATCCTCCTAGAAACGGCCGCATTTCACACTCATTAGGTGATTTCTTTGAGCTCCTGACATATACACAAGTATCCTGTTATACTCTATATCATGAAAGCTACTCAAAATCATTAAAAGTATAAAACTTATCCTTTAATACTTACAGGGAGCATTGTACATCATTTTGGGAGATGGGCACAAACGTTATGTCATTCAGTGCTTTCATCAGACTCTGTTCGACTTGGTTGTCCCTTTGAACTTAGATCTGGGATCTCCAATCACATAAGTGGGGTTTCCATCAAACATCCTCTTTAGTCATAGGCAATAAACCCATTCTCTTTGATGATTTCAAAACTTGATCTCTATTTAAACCTTTAGTGAACGGATCCGCAAGGTTGTCAGCTGACTTAATGTAATCGACCGAGATTACACCCGTTGAGATCAAATGTCTAATGGTCTTATGTCGCCTTCTGATGTGACGAGACTTACCATTGTATAAGTTACTCAATGCCCGAGTTATTGCTGATTGACTATCACAATGCACTCGTAATGCTGGCACTGGTTTCTCCCACATGGGGATGTCTTCAAGGAAATTTTGTAGCCATTCTGCTTCCGCTGCTGTCCTGTCTAGCGCTATGAACTCAGATTCCATTGTGGATCTTGCTAATAGAGATTGTTTCGAAGATTTCCAAGATACTGCTGCACCTCCTAGAGTAAAGACGTATCCACTTGTGAATTTCAAATTCTTTGAGTCTGATATCCAGTTTGCATCACTGTATCCTTCCAAATATATTGGCTCTTTACCGTAGTGCAGCCCATAACTCTTGGTGTATCGCAAATAATTTAATACCCTTGTTATGGCTTTCCAGTGTGTATGACCTGAATTACTTGTGTAACGACTTAACACGTTGACAATATGTGCAAGGTCTGGTCGTGTACAATTGGTTAGGTATATTAGACTGCCAATGACCCTTGTATATTCCAGGTGTGATTTGTCCTCCTGTAAAGGCACTCTTCTGATTGTTGTTGTTGTAGCCTCTGTTCCACTGCTGATTTCCATACCTTTGACCCTGAAAACCGCCATAATTTATGAAATTCACATCTTCCTGATCAACTTCCTCTGAACCTTCGAAAGTCTTCACTTCTTCTGCA